GAGAGTTGTGGCCACAGCCTTGGGCATCCTTTCAGTCAGGCACTTGTTTGTCCTACGCTCAGCAACCCTGCAACCTACAGTCTTATCTACCCGCTTGGCCCCAAGCTGTGGCCAGAGTAAGATCTGGTTTCTATGTCTTTCCTGCTCTGCCCCTGCGTATACTCCCCACATATATCTGCAGAACACTTTTCCTGTTTGGAAGCACCTTCACCATTGAATTAGCCTGGTGCTCTCAGATGACTGGAAATGGAAGGTGGTTCTCTTGGTCTCCCTCTCTGTTTGACTCTCTCAGCAAACAAATTACCCTGTTCCATTGAAAAAGCATCTCTCCACAGTCCATGGGGAAGAGGGTATTATCCGTGGTGGGCACTGAACATTCACTCTGGGGGATTGCCACAGCACCATATCACAGCCAGTGATTCTCCTTCTAAAGCAGGATGTGTGAACTCCAATCGGCCTTTCTATGGTGACTCGAGACATCATTGTCACTAGGTGAAGGCCCTGTGACAAAGAGAGAAAGCATTCTGGCCTTTCTGGGTGACCTTGGGGACTTCACTTCTCTATGGTCTTTGCTTCCCATCTGGGGAAGAGTGTGAGGGTTGAGGATGAAGTGAGAGATGGGAATATATTTCCCAGACTTCCAGGGCCCTGGACACACTAAAACCATGGATGGCAAATCTGATCAATTTCATTTCTCAGATAAACTGGGAAAACAAAAACCCTTAGCTCCCTGAACAGCTTCGAAATGGTCCACATCAGTCTTCCTGGCAACATCAGTCTTCCTCTATCATCTTTCCCAAGAATCTAGTGAAAATGCAGGTTTTTGTTTTTTTAATTTTGAAACTTAATAACTTTTCATGGAAGTGTACTACATGTTTGCTTCTCTCTCTCCTGCTTTATCAGAGTGAATGCAAGTAGATCAAAAGTCAGGTAACAAAGAGGATTGACAGTGTGAGTGATGGCTCCTGATCTCCCTTTCTTCTTTTATCCAGTCTTCCAGCACAACAGGTTTTATCCCTTGTGCCCTGATGCCAATCTCTGTCACTTTAAAGTGCAGATATGTATGCCTTTTTGGAGAAACTTAATAAGAAAGAAAAACACAAAGAAAAAAGAAAACTATAGAATACCGATAGACAAAGAACCAAGAGTAGATCAGATTCTCAGAACATCGATGTGGACAAATCACAAAAGCCACATGGAATCAAAAAGTACAGAATAAATCATCTTGAGGAGTGCTAGCTATACACGATAGTTATATGCCTGTAACATTTTTGGGTAGTAGGGGACAGGCCAGCTTGCTTTCCAGCAGCCTAATTCTGCCTTGTTTCTCTGCTACTTGCCTCAACACTTTCAAATGTTACTACTATCACTAAAAGGCATCAGTCTGAAATGATGCCACGTGAATATGCATGAATGAGTCTCCACTGCCTGCACAATGACATGGGAAGTTGACTATTATATAACCAAGATGCTGGGACATGTCCAAGGACCCCTACCTTAGTCTCCAATTTTCAAAGTGCCCAGTCCATGGATAAAGAGCCTGATCTCTCTCCAACAGCTCCTGAATTACTGAAAGCGAATTCCTCCCACAGTTCTGTCCCTATTCTCACTTGAAGCCTGGCATCTGCTGTTCACTCTGCCTGATCACACGTCCTGCTGGCTCAGAAACCCGCTGTGCATATGTGATTCTCACCCTCAGGCTCTGCTCATGCAAGGTTCTGGGGGTCACATAATTTACTGAAGGTTTGATGGCAATAGGAAGCTACAATATGGTATTGATGCAAAAACAGCTCTCACCTCAAGGAGTTGAGAGATTTTAGGTTACCTACAATTCCATGTTCCAATGTGCACATAGTTTCATGAAGTAACAGCACAAGCAAAGTCATAAATCAAGACTTGGTAAAATATTTTATCATTTTTTAAATCTTTTCTTGCTTTTACCTATATGAGTGTTTTGCCTGCATGTGTGTCTGTGCACTAAGTGTGTGCAGTGCTCTCAGAGGCCAGAAGAGGGCATCAGATGCCCTGGAACTGGAGTTACTCGTGGTGAGCCTCCATGAGGTTTCTGGGAATGAAACCAGGATCCTCTGAAAAAGCAGTCAGTGTTCTTAACCACTGAGCCATCTCCAGCACCTATCTTTATCATTTTAAATTGTGTGTGTGTGTGTGTGTGTGTGTGTGTGTGTGTGTGAGAGAGAGAGAGAGAGAGAGAGAGAGACAACATGGTTCATGCACATGCAGAGGCCAGAGGTGAAAGATTCCCCCAGAGATGATTGTGAGCTACTTAATGTGGATGCTGGGAATTGAACTCAGGTCCTCTGGAAGAGCAACAAGTGCTCTTAACCACCAGACCAAATCAAAACATTTAAAAACATCGTATAGATGGTCAGGCATTTGTGGAATATGCCTTTAATCCCAGCACCCAGGAGGCAGAGGCAGCTAGATCTCTGAGTTCCAGGCCAGCCTGATCTGCAGAGTAAGTTCCAGGACAGCCAAAGCTACACAAAGAAACTCTGTCTCAAAAAAAAAAAAAAAAAAAAAAAAAAAAAAAAATCAGAGAAATGGGTTGCAACAGCAGAAAAATCTTGGCTATAGGTCTCAGAAGATACTAGCTGATAGCCTTCTTAGCCTTTTGATTGGTAGGAAACAGGGCTCTTGTTCAGTTAATATGGTCTGCTGCTTAGAATGTTAGTTAGCTTAACCTGATCTCTAGTCACAGGATGCTAATTCCCACACAGAAATGGGCAAAGAATGGCTCTTTAGGGACTAGGCATAGGCCAAGATAAACTGCCACTAGGCTCTGGGGCTACACACAAACTGCCAACCTCTCACCACTGATTTGTTAGCCAGCCCATCAGCCTGTGCAAACAGGAACTCTTGCTCACAGCAGCTGCAGGGTGGCTCTTGGGACTAACGCATAACTCCCCTATACATGCACTCATCATTGTCCACTATGGGACTTTCTCACTGTGCTGTGCCTGGCTTTATTCCTGACCCCGCCCTCTGCTGCTAACCCTTTCTAAGTCTCTTGTCAGTCTTTTTTGTTGTGGCTGCCATTTTTTAATTGAAAATAGATTCTTTTCTCGGACCATGTATCCTGATTATAGTTTCCCCTCCCTCTGCTCCTCCAGGTTCCTTCCCACCTCTACTCTGGGTCCACTCCCTTTCTCCCATAAAAAATACTAAGCTAATTGCTAGAATGCATGCATGGAGGGCGCAGTGAAGACCCCTGCAGGCCCTGTGATTGTTGCTTTGGTCTCTGTGAGCTCATATGTGCCTTGCACAGATCCAGGGAGCTGTGTTCTCTTGGTGTCCTCCAGCCCTTCTGATTCTTATACACTTTCTGCTTCCTCTTCCACAGGATTCCCTGAGCTCTGAGGGGAGGGATTTAGTGGAGACCTCCAATTTAGACTCTCTGTCTGCATAATGTCTGGCTGTGGCTCTCCACATCTGTTCCCATCTGCTTCTGGAGGAAGTCTCTCTGATGATGACTGGATAAGGCACTGATCTCTAAGTGTAGCAAAGAACCACGAGGAGTCACTTAATTGCTTCTTATTTGTTTGTTTGTTTATTTTACCAGCCATGTTTGGTTTTACCCATGTCTTTGGACTCTTCTCCAGTCAGTCTTTGCACCCCCAAATTACTGATATTTTTCCATGTGCATTAACTCGGCTGACTGCGCCTACAGCTTATACCACACCATGCCCAAACAGACTGGTGGTCTTGGTTTGTTGTGTTCCTACAACAGACTGGCTAACTTCTTTTGGAAAAAAAAAAGAGATTTATTTTGGTTCAAGGTTAATTGGAAAATTAGAGGATTCCAAGATTACATGGAGAGGGTCTCTTACTATTTCAACTCTTGACTAGAAGAGAACTGGTGTGTACTGAGTCCTGCAAAAATGAAGGTTCCTTCCCATAAAATAGTGTCAATCACTTCATTAGAGTGGAGCTTGCATGACCCAAATGTCTTTTATTGGGCTGATTGTTTGTAGCCAAGGCTGGCTCTGAACTTGAGGCTCAGGCTCTGGAGCGCTGGGGTTATAAATGTGAACCACCACACCTGGCTCCAAATGACTCTTAAAAATTCCATCATCAGGTGGGCGGTGGTGGTGCATACCTTTAATCCCAGCACTTGGGAGGCAGAGGAAGGTAGACAGATCTCTGTGAGTTTGAGACCAGCCTGGTCTATGAGAAAGTGCCAGAACAGTCAGGAGTGTAACACAGAGAAACTCTGTCTCCACAAAACCAAAAACCAAAAATCAAAAAGAAAAAAAAAAAAGAAATCCTATCATGGGGGCAGGGGGGAGAGAAATGTTTTGGCTGCTAAAAGCACCAGCCACTCTTCTAGAGGTTCAGGGTTTGATTCCCAGGACCCACACAGCAGCTCACAACTGTCCAAAACTCCAATTCCTGGGGATCGGGCACTGTCTTCTGGCTCCATGAACACCAGGACCACATGGGGCACACAGAGATACATGCAGCCAAAACACTCATTCTCATAAAATAATTTTTATTTTAATTTGTTTAAAAATCTCATTTCTCTGCATGAGTTCCAGTGGGGCAAGCCGTGTTCAAATCATAGCACATGTCAGGCTATTTTCCCCAAGCCCATCCTCAAGACAAACAGCAACAAAATTCTCTCTCCTCATTAATAAAATGTGTATCTAGTCTTTGTGATATAAAGAACTATACCTGGGAGCTGCTCTCAGTGGTACATCTTCCCTCTGCTGTGGCATATGTCATCTATTTTCGGAGTGCCTGGTAGGTACGTGATGTGTAGCTAAACCTCACAAACTTCCATGAAGCAGCTGGCAGCATCGGTCTCATGGTAGACACGGGGCACAGGCTCAGAGGATGTTAAGAGACTTGTGTGTGGCCTGCTCAGGCGCTGTCTATAAGGTTGACTAACTGGCTCTTCAGCAGATGTGTCAGGAAACATGGTAGATGACAGCCCCACCCTTAAGGCTTCCCGCTCATGCCTCAGTCTCTATTCTTCTTAGGCTTCCGCAGCAATGACTTGGTGGAGCAACAATTTCTGGATCATCTTAGCTGTGGCCATCATCGTTGTCTCCTCGGTCCTGGGTCTCATCCTGTACTGTGTCTGCAGGAGGCAGTTTAGACAAGGTAATGGTGGCCAAATTACCTGTGCAGGGAGAGGTGGGGCAGGGTAGAGGTGGGGCAGGCGGTGTCAGTGCAATGGGGCTCCAGATCTGCCCGTAGGTGTGCGGGCTGAGCTTAGATGGAGCATCTTGCACTTTGGGTGTGGTTTCTAGCCATGCCACTAATGTCTGTCCTTGGGCCTCAGTTTCTCATACACATGGTGAAGGGGAGGAGATTTATCTCAAAAGACCTTGTCAGAAGATTTGGGTGATAGCAGAGGCAGAGTCTGTCTCCAGGCACTGGGGTTGGAGCCCTGTTTTGGCCTGGTGCTGATGTCATCTTTTCTGTGGGGCTCAGAAGGGAACAAAGAGAAGCTTTTGGGGTTTTTTTGTTTGTTTGTTTGCTTGTTTGTTTGTTTTTGTTTTTGTTTTTGCTTTTTTTTTTTTTTTTGAGACAGGGTCTCACATGGTTCAGGTTGTGGTTGAACCCCTGGTCTCCTGCCTCTGCCTCTCAAGTACTGAGATTATGTCTGGTGTATTCATGTTATTCTTTTAGACCAGTGAGATCTCGGCTCATCAGGTAAAGGCGCTTGCCATTAAGTCTATAATCTGAGTTTGGTTCCCAGAACTGACTTCCACACATGAGGCATGAACATGTGTATGCATGCACATAAATAAATAATGAGCTAAAAAAAAATAAACCTTTCGTTTTCAGATATGAACAAAAACATGACCCTTAACCAAAAAAAAAGTCCCAAGTCAGTTACCTCTTGGCAGTTCCCTTTCAAATGTCCTGGGTCTGCTTGTTTTCCAAGGACGTCAGAATTCTGAAGTCACAACTGTCACTAATGAATATGGTTTCCCCCTTAGGCAAGAAATGGGCAATTGCCGAGTCCACGGGGAAATATAATGGAAGAGATGAAGAAAAGATGTATGAGTAAGTGCGGGGAGACTCCTGCTCAACTTTGAGACCCACTATCTGTCCCCTTCCACTGTTGTTCTGGTGTGTGTGCAATGACCCCTTTCCTATGGAGCTGGTGAGATGGAGGCCTGGGACATTGTAAGTACAGAGCACCTCTGGCACTGTTATCGGAGGCTCCCTGAACATGTCTATTCTGACAGAGGTTGCTGCTTAGGCTTTGTGTTCCAGCCTCCATAATACTTCTTTGCTTTAAGCAGATTCCAAGTGTGATCCTCTGAAAAAAAAATTGTATAAAACCATAGCATTTGCTTCTACCTTTAGAGATTTATCTATTTTATGTGTATGAATGTTTTGCCTACATGTGTGTCTATGCACCATGTGTGTGCCTGATGCCCAAGAAGGAGGACATCTGGATCCCCAGAGACTGGAGTTATGGATAGCTGTGAGCCACCACATGGGTGCTGGGAACAGAACCTGGATCCTCTAGCTGGAGCATCAGCCTTACTTCTGCTTTTTGTGATGTGTTTGGGCTCTTTTATTACTGTTTGTGTTGAGGCATCCACAGGGCTACCATTAGGAGCAAGGATTCATGAAGGACTCACTGAATCTAGAAATTATCTCACTCACACGGTCTTTCGTTTGTTTGAGACAAGGTTCTATTATGTATCTCTGGCTAGCCTGGAACTCACTATGTAGACCAGGCTGGCCTCAAACTCATAGAAATCCATCTTCCTCAGCCTCCTGAGTGCTGGGATCAAAGGTGCGCATCACCATGCCCTGCACACTATAGCTTAATACAGCCCAAAATAGATAAAATCAGCAGAAGAAAAAAGGCACATAGGCTAGTACCCAGGAGGAACCAGACACAAACCTCCAGCTGTCCTTCCCTGCTAATTCTGAGGACAGATCCCAGCAACTGTGTGTGTAAATATGTGTGTCAGCAAATGGGAAGCATCACAGACCCAGACAGCTCATCACAGACCCAGACAGCTCATCACAGACCCAGACAGCTCATCACAGACCCAGGCAGCTCAGCTGAGCTTTGATACAGGGATCCTGACAGACAGCCCATGACTGAGTTAAACTATGCAGTCTCCAGCCCCTCCAGGAGTCAATGGCCCAACAAACAGAGGCAGGCATCCCCCATAAATGGATGTCATGAGCATACCATCAGAAGTGGCCAAATCCCAGGTGCATAAACACAGTGATTATCAATGTGATATTCTGAAAGTTGAGAGGTGGTCACCCGGATCCAATCAGCCTTTCATCATGCAAAAACAAACAAACAAACAAAAACAAACCTATACTTTCCTAAAATAGAATTTATTGGATTTAAAGAGACCAAAAAATACAACTTTTCCTTGCTGGGTCAGCCAAGCGTCACACAGCCAGACAGCCAATGCCTTGCTGGTACTACAGTGAAATCTTCCCACAGAAGTGTGGTATTACTAAAGAAAAATGTTTCCAGGAAGCACACAGCTCAACAACTTCCCATGAACTGGGCAGACACAGGTAACAGTGCCCAGATCGAAAGTGGATGGCAGCCGGGCATTGGTAGCACACGCCTTTAATCCAGTGTCCTCGGGAGGCAGAGGCAGTCAGAGCTTTGTGAGTTTGAGGCCAGCCTGGTCTACAGAGCTAGTTCCAGGACAGCCTCCAAAACAATACAGAGAAACCCTGTCTCAAAAAACAAAACAAAACAAAAGAGTGGAAGGCACTAACACCGTAGACACTTATTTTCTAAGGCCTGCGGCACGGCACCCCCAAATGCCTACTAGCCAGAAGGGATCAGGAAGGTGTTTGTTGTTGTCTGGTTTTCATTTTGTGCTTTGCATGAACAAAATGGTACACAGGATTTTGCATCTTTTGCTGTTTTTGTTTGTTTGTTTGTTTTGTTTTGTTTTCCAGTACTAGGGCATCCATTCAACCCCAGGACCTCACATGTAACATGCCAGGCTCCTCTATTGAGCTACAACCCCAGGTCAATACTATTTTTGTCATATTCATTGAGTGTAGTTGTAGATTATTTGTTCCGCTTGCTGTAGAACATTCCACTGTAGGAGTAGGCTATGGTCAATCTGTCCCATCTACTGTGAATGGGCATTCAGGTAGTGTGGTGGTAATTTTATGTAAGTTTCTGTTACTGTAATAAATGCCTGTGGCAATCTGCTTATAGAGACACGGTTTCTCTTGGCTCACTGTTCTTCGGTTTCGAGGCTATGATTGGTTGGCCTTGTTGCTTTGGGCCTGCGGTGAGGCAGTGCATCAGCCAGAGAGGGGTGAGGAGAGGTGGAAGGGACTTTGGGCCCACAGCCATCTTTGAACACATGCTTCTAGTCATTTCAAAACTTCCCACTAGGCCCCAACTCTTACATTTTTCACCACTTTCCAACAGTGCCACACTGGGCCTTCGGGAGCATTTAGCATCTGTAACAGTGGGGCTGTTGTGAACAGTCCCACCTGGAATATTCTGGAGATATAAGTAGTAAATTGGTAGCATCACCAATGGTCAGTGTTGGTACCTAACATCAGGAGGAAGGACATCTGCCTTGCAAACTGAAACACACCTGATGCGTAGCATCACACAGGAGGACGAACCCTGTGCCCTACAGATGATCTGTGCTCATTCCCTGGGCTACAGGAAATGATTTCTTTGGGATGACAGAAATGGAATGCAGAATCTAGAAAGGGAAGGAAATACTTGTAATTTGTCGGGATCTAGATTTGAATCTTCAACCCACTCATTTGCCTTGATATCTTACAAAGCAGCTGGTAGTAGGCTTGATTTAGACCAACCACTGACTCTCTCTCTCTCTCTCTCTCTCTCTCTCTCTCTCTCTCTCTCTCTCTCTCTCTCTCTCTAGGAATGTGCTTAATCCATCACCAGAGCAGTTACCTGCTCTGCCACCCAGAGACTTGCCTTTCCCAGAAGACCCTGGTAAATACATTTTACTGCTAACAGTTTCATTCTGGATAGGATAATGAATGTATGAAGGTGTTTTCTTTACCTTACTAACAAGATACTACAGGCTGTGTGACTTCAACAGCTGGAAAACTATTTTCTCAAAGTTGTGGAGGAGGGGAGTCCAAGATAAAGGCCCTAGCTATTTTGGTATCTGGGGAGGGCTCTTCCCATTTTGCAGATTTTGGCTTTTTTTTTTTTTAACTTTAGTGTGTATGTTCATGTGTATATGGGTGCTTGAGAATGAGTGTCATATGTACATGAAAGCCAGTGGTTCCTTGGGCAGCGTCCACCTTATTTAGAAAACAATCTTTCAACCAGGTGATGGTGGTGCATGCCTTTAATCCCAGCACTCAAGAGGCAGAGGAAGGTGGATCTCTGTGAGTTGGAAGTCAGCCTAGTCTACAAAGAGTTCTGGGCCAGCCAGCGCTACACAGAGAAACCCTGGGTCAAAAAAACAAGAAAAACAAAAACAATTTTTCATTGGCTGGAAGTCACCAAGCAGATGAGGCAGCGCTGGCCAGTGAGTCCTAGGGATCTGCCCTGTGCTGGGATTACAGATGTGTACTACCATGACAATCACACATGAAGACAGAGTGATAGAAGATAGATAGATAGACAGATAGATGATGGATGGAGAGATAGATAGATGATAGATAGATGGATAGATGGATAGGTGATAGATGATAGGTTGATAGAAAGATTAGATAAATAGATAATAGATGAAAAGAAAGACTCTAGATAGATGAATATGTAGATTATAGATAGACAGACAGACAGACAGACAAATAGATAGGCAAGGCAGGCAGACAGGGGTTCTCAGGATCAAACTTGGGTCTTCATGCTTGCAAGGCAAGTAATTTGCAGACTGAACTTCCCAGTCCCTTTTTGTGTTTTGTTTTCTGATACAGGGTCCCATGTAGCCCAGGTTGGCCTTAAACTCCCTTAGCAGCCAAGGATTAACTTGAACTCCTTAAATCTTCTGTCTTCATTTCCCAAAGTGTTATGATTACAGTTGAGCCCCACCATTCCTGAATGTCCCCTGGTTCCCTTGACTGGCTCCCTGTTAGACATGACCTCCTGTAAACCCTCCTAGCTCTGTGAAACTGATAGCTATCATTAATCCTTGGACAGTTGACAATACTGAGGCCCAGGGAAGTTAAATGATTTACCCATGATCACTAAACTGACTGCTGAGTCTAAACATGAACTCATTTTACAGGAAATGGAATGGCAAAAGTTTTTCAATTTCCTTGGAGGAGGATACAATTATTGTGTGGCAAATTATTGTGGAGGCAAATCTGGTTCTCATTATAGGTGTAGCTAAGCTATTCTGTTACTCCAACAAAATACTTAAGACTGGGTAGCTTTTTAAAAATGAGGCTTAATTAGTTTGCAGTTTTAGTGGCTGAGTGTTCAAATAGCATGGTACTGGAAAGCTACATCATATGATAAGTGTGGCATCATTGCAGGAGCCCATGTGACAGCAGGAAATCACATGGTAGGACAGGGTAGAGAGCAAGGGAGGGATCCATACCAATTCTAATCAGGCTCCAACTCTTGAAGGTCCTACCACCTTTTTTTTTATTATTATTATTTTAGTTTTGTGTTCATTTGTGTTTGAGTGTCTGCCTACATGTGTACCATAAGTACACATATGTCCAGAGTCCAGAAGAGGGCATTGAATCCCCTGGGGCTGGAGTTAGAGGTGGATGTGAGCCATCTGATATGGTTTCTGGGAACTGAATTGAGGTCCTCTGCAAAGCAGTAGGAACCGTTAACCGTTGTGCTCCCCACCCCCACCCCCCAACACATACACCTTTTAATGTCACCAAGTCTCCAACACACGAACCTCAGGAGAATCATTCTCAAGTCACAGATGAACAGCAGTAACCACTCTTGTTCCTGCTATAGACCCATTGTGCAGTGATTCTATCTTTGAAAACAACCCCCACACATATACACACCCCATTTCCTTCCTTCTTAGCACGCAGATTTGCATGTAAGCAATGGCAAACGGTCCCGGGAAGCAGCCTAGGGTACAGGGAGGGATGCACCAACAAGTCCATTGGACCCTTGTGATCTGGGATCTGTGGATACAACTGTGGTCACCTAGTAACTAGCTATGATCTGCTTCCTAAGTGTTCGCAGCATAGTTCCCTTGATGTGAGGCTCTTAAAGCAGAGATGTGGGAGCCAAGAGGTCTGCCCAGCATTTGTCATTCATACAATTAGACGATCCTGAGACATGTGTCATGCCTGTGACTGTTTTTCATCTGTGAAATGGGGAACTGGCCTTCCAGGAAGTGGGAAGATCTGTATCGGGCTCAAAAGTAATGTTGAGTCACTCAGTCAAAAATACATCAACACAGAGTAGCCTTGCATGTAATGACCTTTTTCTGTGCTTTAGCCCCACAGGAAGCTCCAAGCCAACCACTGGCTTGGTACTCATCAGTGAGGAAAGTCAGAAACAAGAAGGTCTTTTCTATCTCGGGCTCCGAAAATGACTACGATGATGTTGAGATCCCAGCAAGCACTGAAAGCCAGAAATCTAGAACAACCATGCCTTCTTGGCAAGCTGAAAATGGCTTACACGGCTCATTTTAGAGTAATCTAGAATGGTTGGACTGTAACACAGGCACTTCCCAAGCCACCTCAGCTATGTGAGAGCTACAGCAGAAGACAGGACTGGTCAAGATGGTCACGATGCTCCGAATGTCCTGGTGTTCCAGATGCCCCTGGTGTTTCTGATACTTCAGAAGCTCTGGCCTGAGACTCAGAAGGTCTAGCCTTTGCATGTCTGTGGAGGAAGTTTCCTTAGTGGGCCTGTGGGAATTGGCTCATTTCTCCACATTCCCCTTGTGTTCCCTTGGTAAATGTGGCTCTGAGGGATCTTAAGTCTTGGTATTTGATTGTGTGGAGCCTCCTAGCGACCACCCCTATCTAGGCCATGGCTTAAGGATGCCTGTCTCCCCTTCCAGGCCCCACCCACCCTTAGAGGTTGTAACTTGTCATTACAGATGAGGGTTCTCGAGGTGTTCAGGTCACCACACTCTGAAAGTTGTTTTGTTCTTTGAAGCCACCCCACCCACTCACACTCCAACCCCTAGTACCTTTTCAGAATGGACCGAACCCACCCAAGAGAATCGTTCTTACACGAGCTCATTTCCTGTGCTTTTAGACAGTATTTTTAATAATTAACAAAGGACACAGGCGGCCTCCTGACTTCTGCCTCCAGCTCTTTTGCAGTGGGTGTGCTGGTGGTGCCAGGAAAAGGTTTCCCCAGGAAGTCTTCAGACAGCACCATCCAGCCTAGCTTATTCAAGAAGAGAGTTCAGGGCTTAGTGTCCCTTCTGTGACTTTCATTATTGCATCTCCTTAGACGGCATTGCTCTCTCTTCCATCTCTATCTTCCTGGGGTGTTATCTCTTACTGTCCTCTAAGCATTCCTGAGCGATGTCACCAATGTCCACAGGCTCCCAGCTGCAGGCTCCAGTTGAGTACTCTCCTTACTGTTCAGGCTGCACAGCCTGCAGGACACGTCCATCTGATTACCCCACAGGACCCTCCATATCCCATGGAGATCTACTCCCAACCCCAAGCTCCTTGTGCTGGAGTACTTTCTCCATTGCTGAGGGCAGACGTTAGTACCCTTCCTCATGTCCTTTATTGCCAGTGTTCCCCACCTCCTGCTGACTGTGCCTCAGCCAGCTCAGTCTCCATCACCACTTTGAGAGCCTCTCATCAGTGTCCTGCCTCTGGCATCTCACATTCCAAAACACTGGCTGGCAGGGGGTGATTTTCTAAAGTGAGCAACTGAACATTTCCTCCCATAGCCTCAGAAAGAAGCCAAACTCTTAAACAGCTTACACGATTTGTCAGGATCCTGTTACTGGCTAACTTTACTTACCACCTCCTTGCAACCTCCAGATTGCCTGGGATTTCTCCTTTATTTGAAAACACCTTTGCTGTGGTCTCTCTTGCTCCTGTTATATGCAATATTCCTCCCCACCTTTGCATCGTAGACACCTTTCCGTCCTCACCACCCAACATGTGGGCACTGTGCCATCCTCACTGTCCCAGAAGGAGTGGTTGCCTGCGTAGGTGTGTTCCCCTCAGACTCTAGCATCTGTAACAATCTGCACATGTGTCTTCTGTTTCCATTTGACAAAAGGTGAGGTCAGAGAAGGGATGAGCTTTCTCTTCTTCATTGCTTTCCCTGTTCCTAGCATGCAGTGGATGAGGTCAATGGTTATGAGGAATGATGAGCTGAATGAATGAATGAATGAATGAATGAATGAATGAATGAGTTCCTCCAGGCTCTCACAGGTCCCTGGCCCTATGGAAAGTTTTCTTTCTTTCTGATCTCCCTATTCTGGGAGCTTGTTGTGGTCTAAACATAAAGTGTCCCTATAGGCTCACATGTTGAATATTTGTTTCCCAGCTGGGGTGCTATTTGCCCCATTGGCAGCCTGCTTGAACCACAGCTGGGCTGTGAAAGAGTGCTGAATCATAATGCAAGGAACAGAGTCCAGAAACCATTCCTCCCCCCAGGGCCTAGCATCCTGGCCTGGGGAGGGCTCCTGAGATCTCATGATGCCATCTTTGCATTTGCTATCATCCTGTTGTGTAGCATCTAGCAGAGCCAATCTCCATCAACAGTCCCCTGGCCACATCTTTGGCGTTTTCTGATGATTAGGTTTGTTTCAATCTTTACAGTATGGCCAGGTGAGAATGTTCCAGATCTTTTCACATTTTACTGCAAATCCACGGGACTTTCCTCACCACCTGCCTAGTAGCCTCGTCATTGTCCCGAAAACACCAAGACATAATAAATGGGCTAAGTCTCTTGCCGATTTGCAGCAACGATCACCTTTCCTCCAGTATTAATCACCTTATTCCCTGTTTCCACCGGATAACCTACCCATGTTCCTGTTTCTACTGGTGTTCATGGCTTCTTATGTGATCTCTGAGAAGACTGGATGGAGGCTTCCCTGAAACTCACTTCTGAGCCCCGACAAGAAACTTCCTTCGGGATCTGTGATTCAGTTTTTGTCCAACATGCATTTCAAAACACCTCCAGGCTCTTGCTAGCATCCAGTTCCTAAACCACTTCCACATTCTTTGGTATTTCTTAACAGTAGAGCATGCCATTTCTCGGTACTACTTTTTGTCTAAGTCCATGGGCAGCCATAAGAAGGTAACTTAGATAGAGTGTGTTACTAAGGTCTCCACCACTATTAAAAAAAAAAAAAAAAAAACACCCGAGCTAATCAGGTATCAAGATAGAAAGTATAGAAAGTTTATTGTGTGGGTCATTGGAGCCTCGCAAGCTCCAGCACATGATTGCTTTGACCTTGTTGCTTTAGACCTGTGGGGTAGAAGGCTTACATCACAGCAGGAGGGGTGGCGAAGCATGCACTTAAGTGCCAAGAGGCAAAGAAAAAAACAAAGAACCAGGGTCTGGCTAACCCATTTGAGAACACCTCCCCTAAACAACTAAAGGACCACTACTTGACCCTGACACTTAAAGACTACATCCTCTCCCAAAACACCAGTCTGGAGACAAAGCCTTTTTTCTTTGTTTGTTTTGTTTTTTGGTTTTTTTTAATTATTATTTTTTTCTTATTTTACATATCCATCCCAGTTCCCTCTCCCTCCCATCCTCCCATGCCCCCTTTGCTATCCCTCCCCCACCCCATTCCCCACCCACTCCCCAGGGAGGGTGAGGCCTTCCAGGAGGGATCATCAAAATCTGTCAAGTTATTTGGGGTAGGGCCTAGGCCCTCCCTCCTGTCTTTTTGCCTTCAGGTCCACCCTCTCTCCTCAATGTCCCTTGAGACACATTCTGAGGGACTAGATCTGTCCTGCTTTTTTGGATGAGGACAGATGCCATCCATGTCATGGTCATTCTTAGATAATAAGAAGTCTCCCAGGCGTGGGATACAGAAGGCCTGCATTTGTCAAAACTCAGATTTCTGCATTTCTGTAAATTTTAACTCAAAGCAAAAATACGTGCACAAAATATTGAGCTTTGCTTAATGATAGCAACATATTTGAGGCTGACATATTTAGAGGGAAGGAAGTACTGATGCCTGTAGTTTATCTTGAGATACTAAAGACAAGATAGAGGGCTCCAGAACCTTTGCTTTTAAGTCTGAGTTAGTTCTGTTTTATGGAGCCTGCTTACCCACATCCTGGGTGAATATTGTAAGTTTAGCTGCACAGGCACCAACAGGAAAGCTTGGTGCCTGCTCTCTGTGTCAAAGCAAAGCGATGCCTCCGTTTTCTCAGTGATTTGCAACAACTCAGGCCAACAAAGTCACCCCCCTCTCCTGTCACGAGGATGTAAAGGGACTCTTCCTTCTCCTCTGCAAACAACAGGGAAAAAGATAAGACTCCCTCCTGCCCAAGGGATGGCCTTTCTTGACCTGGCTGTGCAGACCTCCAGAGCGTGGAAGGCAGAGTGGTCTCAACCATGCTGTGGGGTCAGCCCAGGGCTGCCTCCACATGGGGGGGGCGTGTCCCCACTTCCTGTTGTGTGATCTACTTTTTAGAAAAACACTTCCAGATTTCCCTTTTAATTCTACTTTCTTTCAGGTGTGTGAAGAACACGTGACTCAGATTAGCCATTTGGAAAGTCTCCTTCCCTTAGCTACTCTGATTGGTTAGTTTAGGCTTTCCCACAGAATTTGAGTTAAAGTATATAAACTGTCAAGGAGCCACTGAGCTAAGTAGACACTCCACATCCTTAAAGACAGTAGTTGAGTTCCTGTGTGTAGCCATGCTTAATGTGGGCATGACTCTGGGCTCCTATCACATGAGCCACTATTCTGCACATGCTTTCAGTGTTCCCTTTAAGTCATGTCTTGATCTTCTCATCTCTGTGTATGTTTACCTGTATGTGGCACATGTGTACATGCATGTGTGTGAAGGCCCAGGGATGGCATCAGGTGTCTTTCTTGATCACTCTACGCCCTATGCATGGAAACATGGTCTTTTACCGGAAGCCAGAGCTCATCAGTCCTGTGCTGGGATTATAGGCAGGCTGCCCAGAAGGTGCAGGGGTGCTGGGATCCAAACCCAGGTCCTCAACACTGGCATGGTAAACACTCCACCCACAGATGATGGGAGATGTCATTCTGTAAATCCCCTATGCACTGGACTTATCCTCTTTCGTGTGACCTAATATAAAAGCCTCCCTAGTGGCCTTCCCTCCAATTTTTCTCCCACTTGCCGTTAGAGGGAACTTTCTCAAACACATGACTGGGTCACAGCCCTCCTTAAATCCTACAGTGGCTCATGAAAATGACAAAGACACAGTCCGGACTCAGTAGTACACCATGCAAATCTGGCTAACCTGGCCCCACCGGCCTCCTTTTAACACCTCCTGCCCCCCCCACCACAGCCTGATCACTGGAAACTACCTGCATTTCCCCCAACATGTCACGTTAGTTCTGGGGGGGGGGCTTGCTCTTCTTTCTGCTGGGAACTCAGTTTTCTTTAGAGGCTAGGGAAGCATCATTACCTTGAGGGTTCTTCCCTGGGGCTCAGTTGTATCTTTCCTTGGCATTTTTCTTGCTGCTGTGGATCACTCTCTCTTTCTCCTTAGGCGTCAGGTTCCCTAATGTCTTTGGGAAACTGTCCACTCCGCTCTGCTTGGTGGTTGTGACTTTTGCTTGACAGCCTGGTATTATTTACAGTGCTTCTTTTCACTCTCTGAGGTGTCCCTACTTTAGATAGTAAATTATATGTTCATCCCGCTTGCTTGTGATTATGTTAGTGGCTGTGTGACACAAGTATTTAAAAAGTATTGTCACATAGAGGCATGAGAAAAATGATCCTGCTTAGATCTTCTTTTATTCTATTAAACAAGTACAAAACCCAATGTGCCCAACATTCCTTGTCTGAATATCTTGATTACAAATGCTCCGGAATCCAAAAGTAGGCATCACGATGCCACAAACAGAAAATTCCATACCTAAGCAGGTTGCAGAAGAAATCCAAGCACACTGAAGATGTTCCTATCAGGCTGTGTGTATGAGATGAACAATCAAGGGTAGTGTTAGCTGGACTGCCTTGGAGTTTTTGTTACTTGATTCACTGAAATAGATAAGCTGCTAAATGTAACAGTTCAAATAGATTTGTCTAGTTTTCCATGTGCATTCACTTATTAAAAGTACCTTTGTAAGCTGGGTGATGGTGGCTAACACCTATAATCCCAGCACTTGGGAGGCAGTGGCAGGGCAATCTCTGTGAGTTTGAGGGCAGCCTTGTCTACAGAGTGAGTTCCAAGACAACCAGGGTTACACAGTGAAGCACGTCTCAGGAAAACAACAACAACAATAACAAAGCTTTTGTAAGTTTAGAGAGATGGCTCAGTGGTTAAGAGCACTGGCTGCTCTTCCAGAGGACCTGGGTTCAGTTCCCAGCACCCACACAGCAAGCAGCTCACAACCATCTATAACTCCAGCTCCTGGGGATCCAATGCCTTCTTCTGGCTACTTGGTGGCACTGAATTCATGTAGTGCTTGTATAGACAAGTGACCTAACATACACATAAATAAAAAATAAGACTTTAGCTGGTATAGTGGCACACACCTTTGATCCCAGCACTTAGGAGGCAGACACAGATGGATATCTATCAGTTCAAAGCCAGCCTTATTCCCATAGTGAGTTCCAGGACAGCCAGAACTACATAGTGAAACCCTGCCTCAAACAAAAGAATATTTTGTAGAAAAATATGTAAATGAAACAAATTACTTTCATGTTTAGACTTGCTTCCCATCACAAGATATCTCATCAAGTGTGCTGTCTTGTTTTATATCAACTTGATACAAGCTAGAGTCATCAGAGAGGAGGAACCCTCAGTTGAGAAAATAAGATCAGGCTTGGGCAAACCTGTAGAGAATTTTCTTAACTAGTGATTGGTCGGGGAAGGTTCAGCCTATTGTGGGAGGGTGCTATCTCTGGGCTGGTGGCCCTAGGTTCTATAAGAAAGCAGGCTAAGCTAGTCATGAAAAGCAAGTCAGTAAGCAGCACCCTTCATAGCCGCTCCTGATTCCAGGTTCCTGCCCTGAGTTCCTGTCCTGACTTCCTTCAAAGATGGACTACAATGTGGAAGTGTGAGCCAAATAAATCCTTTCATCCCCAACTTGCTTTTGGTCATGGTGTTTCATCACAGCAATTGTAACCCTATGTTAGACATTAAGTATACAAAAATATTTCAAAATCTGAAAAAAAAAAGCTTGACATTTGAATTCCTCTTAGTCCTAAACAATCCAGATAAAAGATATTCAACATGAAATTGATTAGACAAGTTTTAGATTAAAGTATCCTTAACACAATTCAAAAATGTCCATAATCCACAAGTCCAAGACCAGAAACAACTTAAACTGTTACCTCCTGAAAGGCCCCTCTGCATAGAATTCCACTTCAAACCAACAGCTGTAGAACCCAATACCAGGAGCTCAGCCATTAGGATAACTAAGGCCTGGTATGCTGGTGTGCACTGGTAATCCTAGCACTTGGAAGGTAGAGGCAAGAGGATCAGAGCTTAAGGTCATTCTTAGTTACACAACAGGTTCAAGGCCAGCCTGGGCTAAATGAGACCCTGTCTTAAAACAATACATACATGTGTCCAAGCATACATAATAAATACAGCAGATCACCTCTTCTACTTGAGGCTGCCATTCCCTCAGGCAGTTCCCCTGATAGTGTGAATAACCCACTAAGAGCAGATGAAAAGCAATGGCTTCTTGTTCATGTGGTACATGATACTTCACTAGGATTACTGCTGCTTTTAGGCATGTCACCTGAGTAGGGGTGTGCTTCTGTTCATAACCTACACAGTCTACACTTGGCTTAAGTGG